CCTTCCATCTCAGGAATCTATAAACAAAAACAAGAAATAAACTGAAAGACTGCAAAGAAATGACACAAGAAATATTTGAACAAGCATCAATTAAAGGGAGATAAGACAAAATTTAAAAAGTACCTAACAGGTAACTTTCTCAAATACAAAAATTGGTAAACCTTGATCTGGACCAGGGGTGGGCAACACCTACCACATGCTGGCATGTGAAACCCTCTCTTATAATCTTCCATTTACAATTTTTTTCTTAATACCGACTTTTTTATTTTTCAGATAAATTCAGTGTAGGTGCATCTCAGATAAATAAATAATTTAACATAACAAGTTATCTTAAAGACCATAGACATGGCTGACGTTGAAATGCAGTTGATTGAATTTCAGAGTAGCTCATTTTGGAAGCAGAAATTTGTGTTTTTGTCGCTCGAATGAATTTTATTTTTTCTTCAAGATTCTTTACATACGTACATATTAAGCGATATCAAGTAGGCATAACATGTTCTCAAAAATTAGGGTTGGAACGCAGAATTTGGAGTCAGAGATTTTGCTGGTTTTGGCACGCACTCACAAAAAGGTTGTCCACCCCTATTCTAGACTAAAACAAAAAACAAAAACAAATAAGTAAAAAAGAAAACCAAACCTCAACGAAATGAAAAAAGAAATGAAACGTAAGATGTTACACCTGACATTATGAACCCCAAAGCATCACAACAGAGGTTGATGTTATGAAACGAGAATACTGCACTTACAAGCAACCGCTTCCTCTGACCTCCAGGAAGTCCTGGGGTGGAGGGGCGGACGAAGATATATGTGAGGAGAAACTGGACTGACTGGCATGGGGCAGGAACTAAGGGGCGGCCTTCTCCCAGACAGAGGTGCTCCCAGAGGTCATTATACCTACGTTGGGACATCCCAGGTCGCAAGTCTGATTGACAACCATTTCAGTTTTTCCTTATGATTCCTTCAGACCTCACTTTATCCCATTTAAAACCCCACTCAAGCTATGTGCAGCAACTTTTCTATATGAATGGCCTGTCTTGTCAGGATAAATCCTGTCAAAAAAGTTGCAGTTGGGTCTGGGAGCCCCAAACCTATCAATAAAGGACCAAGATGGGACAGCAGCACTAGCCTCCCTTAATTCAAGGCTGGGCCTCATCAGGGCATTTCCAAACCCGATACAAAAAGGAGAATCTACAAATCTCTCTGTAGATCCAGCTGGGAGTCTCCAGAGAGTGGCTGACTTTACACCTCCCAGGAGACCCAAGAGCCAGTGTACCCAGTGGTCAGTGTCATACCATAGCAGCTTACAACTATTCATATCCATAAGCCACACACTCAAGGGGCAGATTCACTGAGCATCAAAGCCCGACTGAAGCAAATCCTGTACCACAGGGGTGTCTTCTTCACAGCAGCTAGATGCAGTCGAAAATCCTCAACATTATTCCGGCAAATCAGATCCATTTCATTAGAAAGAACATACACCATTGTGGGGAGCTGATATAGGGTTAAGCCTCGGACTGACCTGTGGGCAAAGTCATAAACAATTCCCAGCTTAGAGGGCACAATCCTCTTAGCATAATTAGGCTTGGCCTTATAACGCTCCCTAGATCTTACTAGGGAAGCTAATGGGCTGAGGGAAGTGCAACAAGAACAAAAACAAAGTGAAACTTACAAGAACGTAAACAAGTGAAACTTACAAGAACTGTGTAACTATGGAAACCACTACCTTGTTTACCGCTCACTATAAAATAAAGGCTCAGCTTGCCTTGGGATCTTTTCTCTGTGGCCTCAGCCAGGCACAGGGAAGATCCACGGAGACTGAGGAAAGCTAGAGAGTTCTGAACGCTGTCTCTGTGTAAAACATTCTTCGCCGACTCCGTCCACACCTTTGGGAACCCCTGGACCCATGGGGCTGGACCCCAGCACACCATGACCAAGTGGGATTTAATTTGTGGATGAAAGGATGGTACTGTATCTGCAAACCAATAAATATGATGCAACATAAAAACAAAATGAGACAAAAATCACAATCATATCAATTGATGCAGAAAAAGCATTTGACAAAATCCAACACCCTTTCTTGAGAAAAACTCTCAGCAAAGTGACAGTACAGGGATCATACCTCAACATAATAAAAGCCTTATGTGACAAACCTACAGCCAGTATCACACTCAATGGGCAAAAATTAAAACCACTTTCCCTAAGAACAGGAACAAGAGAGGGATGCCCACTTGC